GGGTGTACACCAGCATTTTAGAAATAAAACGTCTGAAAATGTTTGTCATTAGCAGTAATGACTTAGAATCTGAGTCCAGAGTAATAAAATTCTCTTCTGTAGTTTTGTAACAGTGCACACATATGCATTCAGGTAAACTGTTCGTGATGCTTTATAGCCCAGGCAGCTTGTCGCTATTTTAAGCAAAAAATGTTCTTTCAGTGAAAAGTGAATAAATTAATTACTTTTACCAGCAACTTCAGCTAGTTTTAGGAAAGCTTAATTGGAACAGGATACAAGTATAGATAATTGCATCTGTAAAGTGAAACATGTTGTTCCTATAAATTTAATATAGATGACTATTATGAATGCCTTCTCTGCTTTAACCAAATGCCTTAGAAAATATAAAATGGATTAGTAAGAAAGAAAGGGATTAGCACCTGTTCGTAGTGACATCCAAGTCAGTTTTGACTTTGGGAGCTCTGACACATTGCTAAAAACTACGAGCTCTCTTTATAACTCTTCATTCAGAAAATCCACTTATTGGAAGCAAGTGATCTAGTGTATAATGTAAGAACAGTTTAATAAACCAATCGGTGGAACGGTGTTCAAGTATTTCCAGCAATGAAGAGAATTCTCTTAATTTGTTCTTTAAACTGCAGAGTGGCTAGAAGAAAATGATAAATTTTCAGCCTTTGTGAACATTATGTCATTTTCTTGCTAAGGTATACATTCTCTAGAGTAGAGAGCAGTGAGTTTGTAAACAAAGCTAAAAAACCCTCTGTGAACACAGGTTGTGCCCAGTCTCTCAGCCTTGAGCTGCATATTCCAAAGACTCAGAGTAAACAGCCACATAGCGAAGTCGACCAAATTGCTCATGCTTACATGTAATTAGTATTTACCCCACTAATTTTGCTCCTCCTGGTGAGTGGGGAAACCATAGAGAAGCAAATGCTGCCAGATCCCTGTCAAACCGAAGCCAGTCTTCAGAACGATTGTTTCAGGTTCTCCTGGGAACAGTTCCCAGACAAGACTTGCCATGCTCACAACTTACAGAACAAAGAAATGACACTTTCTAACACAAGAGTTAACAAAATACTACAGGCTGATAAAAGCAAGAATTGCTATACAAGGGCTTGGATTGGCCACCTCCAGCCAAAGGGGTCACCAAGCATCCCCCTAAAATGCAAGGTACTCTTTGGTTACCCTACACACATCCATAGGTGTGTCTTCCCTGGGACACATTCTGTGTTATAAAAGGAATCTTATTGTTTGGGATATACTCTTAATCCCTAAAGCTTCACATTTAAAGCGCACAACAAATTTCATTGATGATGTATTACCCAGTGCAAAGCAGGTGAGGTAAGGAAAAACAAATAGGCAAGTCATGTGATATGCTGAACTTCTGTTGTTCTGGTTGATTTCTCATACAAAATACTTAGGGTTGTGGGCTTTTTTTTCTGCGGTGTGTTGGTTTTGGTTGTTTGTCTGTTTGTTTGTTTATATCTGGTAATGCATCAGATATTTCGAATCCAGGGGTTGGCTTCTTTGCACTGGAAAATAGAGGAAGGGTTAGGAAAGCAAACATTTTAAAGGAAAGCAAGATGAGCTAGGTGTTCTCTCTGTGGAATTTACACCCAGCAGCATCAATCCAATAGTCTTGGTCCCTGAACTGGGCAGACCAGGGCTGTGCATGGCAGGGTTGCTCCCTGCTGGCTCAGCACTTAGGTATACTTCCCTTGGAAATCCAGGGACAAAGGACAGGGAAAGAAAAAAGTACCATGCATGGATCTTGGCAGGATAAGGAGTTGGGATACAACCGGGTCACACAGAAACAGTTCCTAAATGCTGGGGCCCAGGAGCACAGGCCAGCTGCACAATTTCAGATATTAGGGTAAAGGGATTCATAGCAGGCACTTACAATAGGAAGATGCATTGTGGGACATCCAGTACATCCGCATACACTCCGGTACAAACCTAAGGAAGCATCTGTGCAGCTGTTTTACACTAACCTAGTCACAGACAGCACCGTGTAGACTAAAGACACCATCTGTTCTCTGCTGACAACCCCTCTGTAATGATAACAGCAGGGGCTTGGATAAAGACAATTTCCTCTAAAGGAAAACAAAAAAAAACCCCTCTCACACAGGTTAACCTCTGAAAAAGAGTTTCAGCCTGGTGCTCAAGCTCAAACACCAGAGTGAAGAATCAGAAAAAAATACCACAGTCAGAAACCACAAGCATGCAAAGTAGAATGAACCCTCAACAGCATACATACCAAAAAGGAAATGGTAGGTAAACCAGTAACTCTTGGAATTACTACTCTGTTTTGGCTGCAACATCATAGGAGCCAATATGTCTGGTTTCCATGCCATCCCACAATTTAACATCAAAGATCTTCCAACTTTGCTCATTTTGGGACAATTTAGACAAAAACCTGCAAATGTAACGCGTGAGCAAAGTGGAATTTCTACAGCAGAGAGGTGAATTTCCCCAAGATCAGCCTGCAATATTTTTTCCCCCCTCTTATAGTATATAACATGCAAGTTCTTTACCAGGTAAGCAAGCTTTCCATCTACCTGTATCCACCTGCAGACTTTGGCCCCATTTTCCCCCACCAATCAATTGCTGGAGACTGTCTTGCTGGAAAGAATTATGAGAACCTGTTGGTTGCCAGGCTCACCATCTAAAGAGTGCAGCAAGCAAGACTGTAACAGGGTGAGAAACACCCGTCATTGTTAAAACAGCAGTCAAGGAGAGTTACTAACAAACTCCTAAAGCCCAGCCATCACCTGGAAGGACTGCCTGCAGGGATACAGAGGATAACTGAGTTAAAAATGCCTTTTGTAGAGAAGGTGACATACTTTTAAGTGAAACAGCTAAGGGAAGTGAAAACAACAGACTTGTTTTCCAGTACAAACAGGCTGCAGGGCTCTAATTAAAATAGGTTCTCCTAACTCAAAAAACATTCAGTCTAATCTGAATTTATCTGATTGTGAGGTTAAAATGTTATTAACGCAATGCTAGTAACATTGTGGAGGCACCCAGAAGATGTAGATATTAGAAAGACATACTTTCTATAGTATATTAAAAAAAAAATACAGCAGAGGGCACACTTCCAAAATGCCTTTATCTCCCTGAGTATCTACACAGCATGAAATTATTTATAACTGGGTATATTCCTGTAACATACGGATATGATTTGACTATATTTCACTGCAACATATGGTTCAAGCTGCATAGTACCTATAAAGATACTACAGGTTATGCGGTGCAGTTGCTTCAGCAAAGCCACTAAAATTAGGTTGGGTCCTGCATGTTACCTTTAGTGTGGCTCAAAGACCATCCTGAGGTCCAAAGGGAGCAGCACCCTGTGCACCATGTTCTGCAAGGGTTGTTCCTGCCCGGGAACTGGGGAAGCAGCACAGGCAGGCAGGAGCGTTGGTTTGGAGCTATTGAGCCTGGCTAGGCGAGAGCAACTCCGTGAAGTCGCTTGATGTGATCTCTAATGCTGTAAGATCCAGAAGCAAGGCGTTAAATCACAGGTTTCTGAGTCTGGACGCTGCTGTGCAGGAGGTTTATTGATCTGCCAGATTTATGGGGCGCTGAGCTGGAGCCAGCAAACCCTGCTGGACTCTGGTTGGGAGTCTCCTCTCCAGGAGCTCCACCTGCAAACATCTGAGGGTGAACTGCCACCACACACACACACGCTTGGTTTTCTTGAGCCTTCCTCAGATTTTGCCACCCTGCCTAACCCCACAGGAGTTACACGCTGGAGAACACCTGAACACAACGCAGAAAGACCACCCAGGGGCTGAGGGCCACCGCATTACAAGCAGCACTCACTGACGAGCACAACACACCTTTAACAGAAAACCACAGAATCACAGAACCATCAAGGTTGGAAAAGACCTTGAAGATCATCCAGTCCAACCACCAACCCAACATTAACAGTTCGCAACACCACCAGACCCCTCAGCGCTATGTCAGTGCGACTCCTAAACCCCTCCAGGGGTGGGGACTCCACCATCTCCCTGGGCAGCCCATTCCAACCTCAACAACCTCTTCTGGAAAGAAATGCTTCCTAACAGCCAATCTAAACCTTCCCTGGCGCAACTTGAGGCCATTCCCTCTTGTCCTGTCACTTGTTACTTGGTTAAAGAGGCTCATCCCCAGCTCTCTGCACCCTCCTTTCAGGGAGCTGTAGAGGGCGATGAGGTCTCCCCTCAGCCTCCTCTTCTCCAGACTAAACCCCTCCAGCTCCCTCAGTAAGACTCGCGCTTCAGAAACGCTGATATTCATTTAATTGCGGACGTACTAGTTACTTCCATGGCTTCCCCCGCAGTTCAGTGGGATTTAGGGTGAAAGGACCGCGCAGGGTTTATCGGAACGCCTGAGGCGGGCGGAGGCGCCACACGCTCCCGGGGCCGTGAGGGGG